TCCAAGAGTCCTCTGTGAGTTAGGCATTGACAGTCAAGGGAGTGCAGCATCTAACACCTTTAGAATCCTTTAAAAATCCCAGACTGAATCTAATCCGTGTCTCAACTCCCCAGCTGCAAAATAGGAATGACAAAATAACAATACCTTCCTGCTGCAGGGGGCTGTCCTGAGGAGAAGAACCATCAGTGAGTGGGAGAGGTTTGGATACTAGGGCTGTGCGAAGCTTTGGGTGGTGATTCAATTTGGAGGAGATTTGGCCCAATTCGGTGGCTGAATCTCTGAATCTGAATCGAATCAGGGGACCAGTTTAAAGGTCCAAATTGATTCAAAGCTCTTCAAATTGTCAGGAAAGATTCAGAGAGCTTTGATGATTCGGGCAGTCCCTGATGGCTGCAGCAGGGAGCTGCAGCTGACTCCAAGATGGTGGTACTACGGGCGAGGGAGGGGACCGTGGGGGGACCTCAGCCCCGCCATGGCTGCCCTGGCCTGTCCCAGCTCATGGCATTTTAAAGAAAAGCCCTGGTACTCATTGGGTGCTGCTGGGTGGGGTTTCATGCCCACTGCTTCACGCTGCATGGGGGGCTCTGCACAAGCTCCCTGCCCCCCCCTGCCACGGTTGTCCTGCCTGGGCCAGCTCTGTCCCTTTAAGAAAAAAAAAAAGGGGGAAAAAAGCCCCTGGACTCACCACTCCTGCAGCGGCCTCTGGGATTCGGGGCTTGTGCAGAGCCCCCCATGTGGTGTGGAGCAGTGGGGGCAGCGGGGATTGCCCCCTCAGCTGGCAGGAGCGGTGAGTGCAGGGCTTTTCTTGTTTTTTTTTTTTTCTTAATGGGCCGGAGCTGGCCCAGGTGGGGCACCCATGGTGGGGGGCGAGGTGGGGAGTGGGGCTCATGCAGAGCCTCCCATGCAGTGTGGGGCAGTGGGGATCGCCTGCTCGGCAGCACCCGCTGAGTCGGGGCTTTTTTTCCCCAAAGAGCCAGGAGCTGGGGCAGGCAGGGCAGCCATTGCTGGGCTGAGCGGGATGGACCTGGCTGATTCAGAGCTAAATCTCTGAATCAGATTTGACCAAATCACTTCGGGACAGTGATTCGAATCACTGAATCGAATCACTTTTCCCCTAATCAGCCAAATCCGAATCTGAAGCAAATACGAGCTGCTTCGGACAGGCCTGTTCGATACCAGGGTACTGAAAGTGCAATCAGTTCAAAACAGCAAATTAATAGCTGTGTATAGGTCTCTTGTTCTTCTCCCTCTTCATACAATGCTTAGCACCCAGCATAAGACACCTGTGATCCTCAGTCAGGCCTGTGGGCATAAATAGTAAAAATATTAAAGAGCTGGTGCTCAGCCTCCACTGAGGACAGAAATCAATGTCCTTGTCTGCAGGGCCTGTGACAAAGTGGCCCGCTCCTTTAAGCAGTAAAGGGCCAGGGCCATGGAGACCTGTTAATCATCAGAGCCAGCTGGGAAGGGAGCGAGGGATTATAAAAGCCTGCAAGGGGCTTAGTTGAGAAGGAGCAGCAGGTTTGAGTAGAGCAGGGCTTAGTGCTGATGCAGGGCTGAGCTCACCTTCAAGTGCTGGGATAGGCAAAGGTGACTGAGGCCTGGGATAGGCAGAGGGGTTGCTTTCCTTTGGGATTTTGTTGAAGGTATGGTGATGTAGGATGTGATGTAGTAGCTCAGGGAACCAGTTGGTAGGCGAGGGAGCCAGAGCGGGTCCCTTTTGGGGTGAAAGAAGAAAACAGTGAACAGCTGGCCTTGTGGTAAGTTGTTCTTCAGAATAGCATGGGGCAAAATAAGACCAACCTGGAGGGTGAGGTGACTTACCTGAGAGAGAAGATGGTGCCCTGATGAGGGCAGGAGCTATCAAGCTTGTCGGGGGTGGCGCTGGATAAGGCTTTATTTTTAGTGGATGAAGGGAAAAGAGTGATGAGATTAGCCAGTGCTGTTCACCGCCTGGGTCTTGCTGGGAGTTCAAATGCTAGTTCTTGAGTTGGCTGTGACATGGGGCATTGAGAGGAATAACGTGGTTTGCTCTCGATACAGTGAGAGGCCTGTGGGTAGATCTGGGTGGCACTCTTTAGCCAATTTGGGAGTGGGGAAGGGGGAGGGAAGTAGAAAAACTACTAAGATGTTATGTTACAATTGTTCTGAATCAAACAAAAAAAACCTGCTGCAGCTGAGTCAGACCATCAGGTCTCAGTGTCCTACAACTGTTTCAGCTCTTCACTTAGATGGATTTAATCACTAAGTTTCCTCTATTTAAAAAAATCCTGAAATAGCACGCTTGTTCAGGTAAAAAGCAACCTTTTGTTTGACCCAAAAGAAACAAATTTTTCATGCAGCTCTACCCCAGGCACTGTAGCCTGTGGTGAAGAGAGGAATTGTTCTGTTCTGCTATTTTTGCCCAAGTTTCAGTTGAAGAATAAAACTAGCTTAATGAGAACTAGGTGCAGCAGTGAGAACCACACCAACGCGTTTGCTACGCCAAAAGGTCTTTCCATCTACCTTGCTTCTGTGATTGGCAGCCAAGCATTTTTAGAAGTGATAAATGCTGGTATTTCTTGTTCCCTCAAAGTCTATGGGAATTGTTACCCCAAACTGGACTCTAATCCTGGTTCTCAAAGATGCTTTGAACACTGAACTCAAAAGCTTTTATCCCTTTGGAAAAAAAATAGCCTGTTGTAGTTTTTAGGTGCCCAATTAGAAGTGCTGTAAAACTGCTTGTGGAAAATTAGTCAATATGATGTGTTTCTATTTAGATGTACAAAATTACTAGATGTTTTTGTAAACCTTGATCACCACTGACCATGTGACCAGTTTTACTTGGCACCCTAGCTGTTTGCCCTTTCCGCCAGTCAAACATTGCTGAAGCTTTTTCTTTCAAGTTGGATAAAATTATTCTTCCTTCTGATGGACACATGGCAATGGCTATTATTTTCAGCAGAACAGACTTAGATCAAATCTCAGGGGGAGAAGAGGTCATGACAGCAAGTGCTAGAGGATAATGGAACAAGATGCCTAGGGAAGCTGTGGAATTTCCTTTGGAGGCTTCCAAGAAAGGGCTGGATAGGGGTGTCACTGGCATGCCTTGGGAACAACGCACCTCCCTGCTTGGGCAGGGGACTACACCAGATGACCCTTGATTGATGTCTGTTCCAATCCTTTGGCTCTAAAACAAGAATGACCCCTATGCCAGTAGGGACAAGATATGGCATGAGACAGAGAGAGCGCTAATCCACCCAAACCTCCCCCATCCCTATTCCTATATCACAGACAACTCATAGTCCCAATGACCATGTTCTGTTAATTTAACAGGGAAAGGGATCTGCTTAGTGTAGTGTCTGTTCCAGCTCACCTCCTACTGAATGAAATCAATAAGAGGAACAAGGGAATGGCAGTGCCCAGCATGAATGTGATCGTTTCAAGTCAAGGTCATCAATCTGAGCAGCATAGGGCCCACAACCAGATTGTCAGCCTCACACCTCACTTGTCCTCCGAAGGCAGAGCTGGGCACAATGGGTAGCTCATGCAAATAATGGTAGCCTAGTTACATATAGAGTGATATCTTGTAGCCACTTGGCACAGGTGTAAATAACAAAGGAAAGTGCAAGGCCTCTCTCCTTTGGAGGCTTTCTCTGTATAAAAGAGAGCATCATTAAGTTACAATAGCTCTCAGCCTTTGCAGCAGAGATTGGTGTTTGATTTGCTAGATGTTATATGAGACAATGCCTGCACTAAAGAGCTTGTTGTCTGAATAACAAGACACACAGAGGTTGCAAAGGGAAGCAGACACATGGAGGTGATTGTCAGACCCAAGACTCTGTGCTCCCTAGACGAAACCACTGTGCCTCTGACTAGTGCATTGGATGGGTATTATACAGTTCTTGTCACCACTTCTGAGGAGGTGAAAGGAGACCTGGGTGCCAAAGAAAGCAAGGCCTTTCACTTCTCACTTACCTGCTAACAGCTGGCTTGGGTTGAATAGTGTGGGCATAGCCCCCTTGGACTGAAGAGTTTAAGCATTAGGCAGAAGGTAAGCAGGGTGGCATCTTAGAAACTAACTACACCTATAGCATCCAGCAAAGTAGATTGTTGCTTATGAAAGCTCATGCCTTTTTGAACTAGCTAGTCTCTAAGGTGCCACCCAACCTCACCATCTGCCTGACTTCAGACTAACACAGTTAAGCTTTCTAGTGAACGTCAGCATACATCCCTCTTACTTGTCCAAAATGGGACAAAGGCATAGCCAAAGGAAACAAGAGGTAACGTACCATCGTTCTACAGAACAAGACATCACTTAACAAGTTTGGATCTATATTGCATGATACAATATTATGGAGGCCATGAGCAAGCTGGATTCAAAACAGGATAGGCCATTCATATGGGTAATGAGCAATAGGTTGAATAGCTATGAAACATATTAGCCCTCAGGCTTCAGGACAAAAGTCAGTGACTTGGTGCTTGGGGTCAGGAAGACAAGGCTACTATGTCTTCCTGTAGAAGACATGTCTACTGTACTGTACCACTGTCTGTTATAAAGGCTTTATACCTTTCTGTAAAGCATTTGCTACAGGCCATGGTTTGGCAATGGGAAATTGGACTGTGGTTCAGACTGGTGGCCTGAGCTGGTGTGATGTGTCATGTTTCCAGAAAGGATCAACACTAGTGATATGGACAACCCTCATTGAAACAGTCAAAAAGGGACTATTAGAGCTAAGAATTGGATCATTGCCAAGGGGCAGAGTTTACGGTCTTGGATCCAACCTTTCCTTCATTCTTCTCTGCTTCCTTCTCGTGCAGAAGATGGGCTGTTCAATAAGGAAGATTTGTGCAAGGATGCTCAAGAGTCTGTATGATGAAGACTCTGCTAGGAGTCAGTCCTGTGAGCATGTCAGAAAAGGACCATTCCCTGTTATTAGTTAATAAGTGTCAGTGACCTGGCTAGCAGGGAAACTGTTGCTGCTTGCATCTCCTTATCTTTTCTTCTTCTCCTCCCTCAGGATATTTGTGCTGGGAATTGGATTTTTCACCCTATGCTTCTTAATGACATCGCTGGGAGGTCAGTTTTCAGCCAAGCGACTGGGAGACTCTCCCTTCACCATCAGAACCGAAGGTAATTATCAGACATTTTTATTTCTTGCGCAACTATTTAGAAAGGAGGCAATCCAGGCCAGGTCTGTCCTTTGTGACTAGTATTTTTTGGATAAGAAGTCAAGGAACTCAGGAGTGCATGAGTTCCATCTCTTTCCATTGCTGCCCCTTGCTAAGCAGACCTTGTGCCTAACAATTATCTTTACCGGCTGTACTAGCTCAGGGCTGGAGGCCTACATTTCTGGAGATCCTAACACTGCTGTAATCAGCATTAGTTGTTCAATAACTTCCATGTCTGGGTTTACAGTATATCTATTAAGTGTTACAAGTTCTATAAACATTGATGGCAAATTGGCTGGAAATCAGAGGAGACTATGGGGAGCCTGATCCTGAATATTTTACTGACAAAAGGCTTTTCTTGAGAGAAATCATGTCCAACTCTGTTGGGAGGGATGTTTGCTATTCTAATCTCTTTTTCCCCTTAAAAAGAACCACTATAAAAGGAAAGTAGGGGGGCAAACTTGGAGGTCTATCTAAACTAGATATAATCTCCTTTATATCAATACTTGATAGAGAGGATAGATAGAGAACAAGCAAAAGGTCCTGATGCAATTTTGATGGAGAAGCTCAAACTGTTCAGGACAAATGGTATAAAAAGCCTGCCCTAGGTTTGAAGAAGAGTAATGCAAGTGATCTTCCAGCTTCCCAGCTGTTTTTGGGAGCGCAGCATGACAGAGATTTTGGAAGTTGGATGGGGAATTGGTGTTGTGCTTGGCCTGCTCACACCCAGGGGATGGGACAGCTATAGGACAGAGGTGGCCAACCTGCGGCATGAGTGCCTGTGCTACTTATGGCAGCCTCTGTGTGTGGCATGCAGCACATTAGGGAGCGCACAGGCAGTATAGCAGCAGATTGGGCAGAGAAAGGGGATTGGAGTGGCACTTGCGGAGGGTGTGGGGCTAATAATGTGGGACACCTGCCAAAAAGGTTGGTCCCAAGTGCTCTAGGGAATTGTGGAAGGCACATGAGCTGAAGGAAGGGAGCATGTGGCAGAAGGTTCTGTGACCTGTGTGGACCAAAGATTGTCTCTTATGTGCATCTGTGAGGCACCAGAAACTACCAGTGATATTAGTGAGCTAATGCATGAGTAAGGGCTGTAGTGATGGTCTTGATTTAATTTCAAGGGAAGGTACTAGCTGACTGCTTGCCCAGGGTGACATGTGAAAAGGTCAGGCAGCTCCAAACACTTGCTAAGTAAAAATGGGCCTGTCTACCCATGAATTTATGCGTTCCTAAACTTAATGCACCTTAAGGGGATTTGGGCACGTGTCTATATGTGCACACCATAAGGCGCCTTAACGCGGCTTGCTGGGTGAACTCATTTACAATCTGCCCTGGGCAGCACCTCGGACAACCTCCAGCATGTGCAGCCGCTCTGGGGCCTGCAGGCGGTGGGCAGGTGCCACCCTGGAAAAGTGGCTGGGAGTGGAGTGAACAATGAGCACATACCTGGCAAGTATGTTGACTGTGTATGTCGATTGAACGGGCCACTGGGCACTGCCAAGAAGAAGTGGCGTTTCTCCAAGGTACAGATGCTGGAGCGGCGGTTCCAGCAGCAGTGGTACCTGTTACTGTGCTCCAGTGTCTTCAGCTTAGAGAACAGCACCCGTCACTGCTGCTTCTTCGTGGTACCCAGGGGCAGTGCAGGGCCCTGCGGACTTGACTGTAGCCCACTCAGTCAACATACATGGCATTAAGATGCCTTAAGGCATCTACACATCCCTTGAGGTGCCTTAACTATTCATGCCTAAATTTGATACCTGCTGAAATGCAGGTATCAAATTTAGGCATAATTAGTCTAAAATCACCATTTTAACGTGCATTAAGGGCATGCATGTATAGACTTATGCCCTTAATGCACCTTAAAAATGGCTAATGCACCTTAAATCAGCATGTGTAGACGCACCCAATGTCGTAGCTTCATAGACATTAGGGTTGGAAGGGACCTTGTGAGATCATCGGGTCCAGCCCCCTGCCCACGGGGCAGGAAGTCAGTGGGGGTCAGATCACCCCAGCAAGATAAACATCCAAGCATTTCTTAAAGGTACCCAGAGCAGGTGCTTCCACCACTTCTGGGGGAAGTCTACTCTGGAGACTCAGATGGTAAAGGAGTTTTTTCTTATGTTCAGTCTAAAATAGTCTTCCAGCAATTTGTGACCATTAGACCTTGTCTTCCCTTGGGGTGCCCTGGTGAACAGATGTTCTCCCAGTTCCTGATGCACAGTACACCCGTTATGTACTTATAGGCTGCCATCAAGTCACCCTTGAGTCTTCGTTTCTCCAAGCTGAAAAGTCCACCTCTCCTCACAAGGCCTGTTCTCTTGACCTCTAATCATGTCCTGCTATTATGACCTCCCACAGGCTGTTCTGATACTAGATGCAGTGCTTCTTGTGCCGGGGTGTTGTTGCTCAGTGTTATGTGAATGGAGTTTCCACTGAATCCCCTGAAGTCTGTCACAGGACGCTCCAGCTTGCTCATGTAGTTGAATTTAGCTCTTAATAAAAATTCCTCTCCAAGTGGCCTAGGGACAGTAAAGTACTTCTAACTCCAATATACCAAGGCGGGAGGGAATTTTCGAGACATCACTATCCAGATTCTGCAGCAGCCAGTGTACATGCTCAATTTACAGCAGCTGAGGGTCTGGTCACCTGAGTGAAATCTGAAGCTGGCTCTGTGCAAGGAGAAACCCGCGGGAAAGGGAAGGAGGCAGTAGCCTGCCATTCTGTGGGTGGACTCCTGCTGGGCACTAGAGGTGTAACTAGGAGTGGGTGAACGGAGCACTAGCCCCAAAAGCCAATTTAGAAAGGACACCAGAATGGCAGCCACTGGAGACAGCATGCCCAGTGGCCTATCTGTAGAGAGGTAAGACCCTCTAGTGCCCACCCTGCGTGTATATGCACACGCACATGCACCCCCCTGCCCAAGCCTTCAAAATTCCTAGTTATGCTTCTGCTGGACACCTAGGGTTCACCTGTGACAGGGAGAGATGACTCCTCTTCACACCATCTGAGCTGAATCCAGCCCATGCTTTCTCCACTGAATATGTGCTGGCTTTTCCCCCTGAATATTTCTGGCATTTGAATTTTTTTTTCCCCGGAAGCTGAACAAGAAAAAGAAAATCATTTCTGCACTGTGCTTATGGTTCACATGTGAAATAATGGAACAAAGCTGCGTCCCTGGGTGAGTAGATTAAAACGGATTCTGCATGTGAGCCCACTCACAGAATAGGAGACTGTCACCTGATAGAGCACAACAATGTGTGGGTGGATTAAGTCCCAGTCTAATCGGTAGAGCTTCTTGTGCTACCTATAGCATTAAATCTTTCTTGTGTATCTGTGTAAGATGTATTGATGTTTGTGGAGCATGTATGGGGGGAGGGTTCCCAAAATTCGGATGGTGCTTGTAAACTACTTAGTTGACTTGAAAAGGGATTAACATGTAATACTGCCTTTCGTGCTTGTCTTGGTTTTCTCCCTGGTGGATAGAGTACAAAGGAGTTTTTATTTCCCCTTACCGCCCCCCTAATTGTTCCTATCATGAACTCTATTAAGTCTCTTCTCTAAGGGATTAGTGTTTACTTGCCTGGTTTTAGTCCAGCCAAATAGAGCAATAGAAAGCAGAGAGATCAATGCCTTCCTTTATTTTTGTGCATGTTTTGCTCAAGTTGGGTGTCTTTTCAGACATGTTTCATATAGGCAGGTGGGAGAGAGTAGGCATCTACCATCTGATGGTTACCTGGGTGATGGTCTCTGTTAGTAAGTGGTGGAGTTTGGACTGACAGCAGCTGTTGTATCACTGATTCCTCTGATCAGGACTTCTGTTACAAGCCACCTAACCCACCTGCAGGATGTGATTTCAGGCTAAAGCACTGAAAAGTATTATATTTAAAAAATAGGTGAGTAATGACAGGTTCCCTCATACACAAGGGGACCCCCTTCCTAGTCTGATCACCAGCTCCATGATCATTTGAGAAATCTCCCCATGTCCAACCTATGAGTTCTGGTTGACATGAAATGGCTGCAACCCTAAAGTAATTGCTGTTATCATGAAATGCTTCTGAGTACCTGCCTTTGCATATGAAGCCTCTAGCATGTGGTTATCACTCTCGGACAATGGAGAGTAGTTAACCTTAATGACTGTACTTTTGACTGAACAGTTGGTGTACTAAGGGGTTTGCTGAAGCCCAGGAGAACCATCTTGTTTTTAAAATCTCTTCAGGGAGCTGTTGTTTCATTGGGAAATTCCCAAATGCAGATCAAAGAAGCCATGTGTTGGAACTGGGGTATATAAACCAGGGAGGCTCTGAGACGCTGGAAGTACAGGGCACGAGAGAGGTAGAGATAAGCATGCATTTGTAGTCTGTGGCTGCTGTTCCCCTGTGGGACCAACTAAGCTCAGAGCTGTTCTGAAAAGACCCAGGGTTCGGAAGAATGATCCTGACCCTAGGTGGGAGGATGCTTCAGTGGTGAGGAAACGGAGGCAGGGAAATAAGGTTGCAGCTATTCTCGTTTGTGGTTTCTCTTTTTGTCTACAGTCCTGAGCAAAGTGTGACTGGGGGTCTGCTTTCACTGCCATGTGATCCCAGGAGTTAAACTGTAGCTCCATAGCACCCCTTGGCTAACATTTGGGGAGCAGGTATCTTAAGTTACTGGTGCGACGTGGGGGATCAGTGTTTGTCCTGGGGGACAAAAGCAGTTGGGAGACCGTGCACATCAAAGATCTACTAGAGAAGCCAAGTGCTTCTGCCTAACGAGACTCGGGGGAGTTTAGAGCACCTAGACAAATTGGACTGGCACCCAGTATATCAGCTACCTGAGTGCCCAGCTAGGGGCCTATGACAACTGACCATGTACAGCCTTGGGGTCAGCTCCTCAGCCTCTCTTAATCTGTCTTGGATTGTTCCAGCTGAACAGAGCACTCCTGGAGTTCACCTAAGTGGCAATTCTCCTGGCCTAGTGCTG